GGCGGTGGGTGGTGATGACTAGCTGCCTTCCCTCTAGTCTTACACTGCTAAATTAGGGACGGCTAGCGCAGATAGCCCTCGTGTAGCTTTGCGCGAAATTCCAAAACAAACAAACAATTCTTAAGCAAATCACAGAACTTAGATTCATCATTTTGGAATTTATCATTTCTGTTTCGATGAGTCCAAGCTAGCTTCAATGCCGCGAAACAACGGTCACCACATATGTAACGTATTCGTTCAGATCTACACGAAAAAATTTCATGATTTTAAAAGTGTCGCTAATGGAGGACGTGACCTATCATCCAGTATCCGAACTGAGTTCGTAGTGTTGGCTGGAAACGTATCAAGGTACCGGTCCAAACACTATATTAGTTAGTAACATTACATCATTTATTAATATATTTAACTTCATTTGCGACATTTCCAGCCGACCCACGATCTCCGGTATTGGACAATAGGTCTCGTCCTCCATCATTGACAATCTTATATGTTCCGACGTTTAGTATAGATTGAATATAAGCTTTTGTTTCGTTCTGTACGATGGGGAACTCCGACTATCTCGTTGTTTGCCTACAATTTTTATCTGGCATGAGACTTCGAGACTGTCATAAAACACCTAAAATATTTTCTTTTCATCAACAAAAAAATATCACCACAGTGACAATATGTTCAGCATTGTACACCGTCCAATTCAGAGCGAATGTTTCACACAACAAAACTGATAATTTCATCTCTCTGTTTTCATAATTAATAAAGTTACATTACACATATGACTATTAGCCCTCATCCTAACCTTATGATAATTTGATCAATATCCTTAAACGTCAAAATAATGATCTTCATCGGCAATCATAAGACTATTTTAAAAGTGTATAACATCGGCAATCATAAGTCTATTTTAAAAGTGAATAACATCGGCAATCATAAGACTATTTTAAAAGTGTATAACATCGGCAATCATAAGACTATTTTAAAAGTGAATAACATCGGCAATCATAAGACTATTTTAAAAGTGAATAACATCGGCAATCATAAGACTATTTTAAAAGTGAATAACATCGGCAGTCATAAGACTATTTTAATAGTGAATAACATCGGCAATCATAAGACTATTTTAACATTTTCTCATCTCTGAACTTCAGTAACTGTAACTTAAAGATAACTTTAACTTATTCCTGTAACTACAGTGGAATCTACTAGATTTTCGTAAATCTTATAACAACTTTATTGACATTTAAGATGTGAATACTCTATTATTATGTTATACAGTAAGAATAATAATAACTTTATTATGCATAATCTTTGAATGATAATCTTTAAAAATAAATCTAATCATGTTGGTGAATGATTTTCTTTATGTTAATCTTATAAAAACACTCTTTATAAACTGATTTCATGTAAAGGATAGATTTATATTTTCTTATAGACCGTACCTTTTGCCTTGAGATCACAAAACTTAGAAGTATATTACCATGCTGAAAAACGTCCACTGTAATATTCATGATACTTATTGTTCCAATGATAGAGTGATGTAACAAAATATTTAACACATTCTCCGTCTTTTATAAGAACCACAGTCAGTGTTCTGTGTCGTAGTATATCACATGAGGTATAGTAGTTCTTGGTTTCATTACATGATATAGAACTGAATTTTCATCGAGAAGCAGACGCTGACCAGCATGTGATTAACGAACAAAGGTCAAAGCATTGATCACAGAGTTTTACCCTTTGGCGTCACTTCTTAGAAAGTTCCGTTGTTTAGTTGAGGAGTGTTTAAATACTTAATCATATATCTGAGTAAATAAAACAACTCTCTATAAACAAAATAAATAGGACACTCACCAAAATGATTTGTAAGGAAATGATGATCACATGTTTGTATATTTTGAAAATATTCCGCAATGTTTGAGTATCTGTGATATTTTATAAGTCTCTATTTACATATAGTGAAGGTAGCATATGGTGTGACACATCACTTTTAAGCTGTAGGGGAGTGGTAATGTGAAGGTCAAGATCTAGTGTTCAGCACGACGGGGGACAGTCAATTTAGCTACGGATTTCAAGTATATGGTATGTTTTCCAAAATAACGAAACTTTGATTACTTTGGATAATGCACCTTATGTTTCCTTTATGACGATTTATTCAATTTGACTAATAATATGCTAGAACACGTATATATATCACAAATATTATTACATTGGGCTGTAAATCAGTATCTTATAAACTAAGATGTTTTCTTAAATAGCATATTAGTATATCTTGAGGTTTTGATAAATAAACGTTTCATTATGTTTGTTAAATATGTTATTTTACTTACATATATTAATGATATTACATCGGGTTATGATGAAACATGAGTTCTGTATATCGAATGTAAATGTAGATTTGATAGAAGCTGATATTCATATGGCGTATTTTATCATAAAAGACTAAGCTAGACGTGTACAGGTCAGTAATTCATAAACTAAGAAGTTTTCGCAAATAGTATCTTAGTGTATTTTGAAGTTTTGTTAACAAATGTTTTAATATGTGGAACACTTAAGTCTGAGATTTTACTAACATATACTAAAAATAATATATTAGTCTATGGTGAGTTTCATATAAAAAAATCACAGAACACTGATTTCTAACTGGGGATTTTTATACATTTGTACATTTATACATTTCATTGTAAATGAAAGATAATTCATGTTACAGTAACAATTTCAAAATCCACGTGAGGAAATACCTGTTTTTAAATAATCGAAGAATAAACACTTGATCCATAACTAAATGTTCTTTTACGACTATGATTGTCAACTCTTTTTTCGGTATTGTTCATTTGTGAAAAATGTGTTTGATACTTTGTTAAACTAATAAGTTTAAATAGTATAGTGTACATAAAGTTAAGTTTTGCACTGATTTTTAGATGAAAAAAATATAATACAAGTTACCGTAACATTGTTTCACAAATCTATGTCAGTTTTGAAAAATTACATTTTCTGAGTCCGAAACGTCAATGAACAAATATGATATGTGATTGGAAGCTTGTTAATAGCTAAGTAAAAATTAGATTTATGTTGTAGACTGATGTGTCTTAACTTGTGAATGAGTTTATCAACACTACCTGAACATTACTAACTCTGTTACCAGTCAAGTACACAATTCGTTGTATTGTAAAATGAAATCTCATACATTTCACATGTTTATGTTTTTTTTAGATATCATAAATATTAAAAGCAGAACTTAATCTCTCATAGTCAAATTAATTTTCATTTTGAAAAATAAAGATTCTGCCATTCTGAATTACAAAAATATCATGATAATCAAATCGATATGTAAACAAAATAGAGGAGATATTATTAACTTCTCCTTTTGAAAAAAAAGGACTTAATAACAACAGAGACCTCACTGATAAAATGACAACTAATGCAATAGCAGTACAAAGAATGAAAAACCATCTTTAAAATAAACCCCCAGTGGCACAGCGGTATGTCTGTGGACTTACAACGCTAGAATCCGGGTTTCGATACCCGTGGTGAACAGAGCACAGGTAGCCCTTTGTGTAGCTTTGTGCTTCATTACAAACAAATTTTAAAATAAAAAGAAACCAACACCTACCAGGATATGTGACACGTGTATTTTTAGTGTTAACAAAGACTATTGTGAAGATTGTAAAATAATACATGGTATAATGTTTTTTGAAGAATTGGGATGCCAACACGGTGATTTGTGTTCCCAAAGATATTTCAGACATTTAGTATGTTCTGTATATAAAATTGTTATGACATTGAATGTCAGTGTAATAAATTCTAATGGAAACAAAACCTTCGTCTTGTCATTGATTTTAAAATGTCATAATATAAACCTACCGCTGCTGCTACATAAATCAGAACTGACCTTTGTCATCTAGCTGTCAATGACCTCATTATATAGCATTTGAAAACTTCGTCTAATATATAGCAACACTCCTTCAAATTATGTGTTAGCTTCGAAGCATTATAACACGAGATATTTAAAATAATAATTATACATTAGTGTATAACGAAATATCATGCATTTCACATGTTTACGTAAATATCAAAAGTATAATTGAATAGATCTTTCATTTTTAAAACTATTCTAAGCAGACTGACAAAGTCTGAACATCTGACCGTTTGTCGGCACAATATTGCGTAGAAATCATGCAATAATTGTACGCTAACTGAAATGTTCCGTAAAAGATTGAGAATATAAATTTAGCGTTTTTTATTCACTATGTAAAGTGAAAGAGCTATGTTTACTGACTGTTGAATTCATTGAGGTAAAGTATGGTGAACATTAAACTTATGTAGAAAATATACGATCATGTAGAGCTTGAACCGTTTATTTTTAAGACTAAGTATAATTTAAATACATAGATAGCGACAATGTATTATAACTGACTTTTCGTTTATGTGAAATAGACTTGGCCAACTCAGAACTGATCTTTGTCATGTAGGTCAATGACCTTTCTCTCCTTTCTGTATCTTCTTTTTCTCTGTCTACCCTTCTCACGTGACGAGCTTTGTATTTCTTAACAGACAAAGATTAGCTAGCTTGACGTCAGTGATGTGTGTGGTATTTCATAATAGTGTTTAGACAGTTTCAATGTTTTATGAAATTTTAATACAAAATGGACGGATAAACAGTAAGTCATTCATGTATTATATTTAGTTACAGCAAAATGAATTAGCCTTATTCAAATATTGGGTAATATGTATGTTATATTACATGTCTCGTTGACTTGTGAAAGCGAAATAGCAGGTGTCCTACGGAACATTGTCTGAAAGAAGTTATGAACACTAGAAATTTATTTGATACCTTCACAAGATTTGTGCACATGAAAGAAGTTTGGAAGTGTGTTTGCCAGTGAGCAACTACATGATCATGTAGAAAAACAATTGTACATTGTCTATCTGGATCCGAGTCATGAACCTGGTAGCTACTGTGTCTGTATTTACATTGGTCAAGATGAGAAGATTCATTAGGACTGCCTCCATATAATCTCAACATAAGAAAGTCATCAAGAAGAACTGTCGAACGTAAACTTACAACAAAAAAGTACTACAAGGACCGTATTCATCTGTGTGTGTGGACAATATTTTACATAATATGCTTATTATCGTAGTCGGCAAGTGTCCAAGAAAGCTCAGTCCTCAAAGATTTATGAAAAATGGTAAGTATTGTTGTTCATGAAAGTACAGTATTCACCCTTGTAAAACTCATCTAAGATAAAACTATAAAGTAACATGTGTAAATGAATTATTTTGCCAAGTTATACGTATATCATAAAGTCAAACTAGTAAAACAGTAAATTTACATCATCACATGATATTTAAATAAGCGTCCTTTATCAGGATGATTTACATATAAATAGAGGAAATGTAATTAAATATAGAACTAATGATTAAGTGATTTAAACCTAGCCATGTTGAGACAGGTCGTGTGTGTCATTATCTTTGACATCATGGCCACCTATCATAGCGGCCTAGCAATGCGCCCTCTCTGATGATATCATTGCATGGCGCCAGAGCCCTCTTTTGCCATTTCATGGAACTATGACGTCATCGTCTCTGGTGACATCTTTCTTTCTACCCCTTCTCTCCCTTCCCAAGGTCGACATACGTATAGCGCCCTCTAACTGCGTATTGTACAACACCTGAGATAATTAGTAATATGCAATTTTCGTAAGATTTGATGACACTTCTAAAAAAACCTAGTTACTTAACTATTTAATTTACGTAAGGATATCTTGTTTAATTACATGTGTATCTAGCATATATCATGGATGCGAATATAGGCATCTGCTGACCTCTAAAAGTTCTTTAAACACCTGGCGTCGATGCCACCTGTCCAGAAAATTTTCCATACTGTCCACAGCTCGAGACAGTGTCTGTTTAATAATGGTTGCCACGTGGGATACGTCTTTACTGAACAGCACTTTGGTTAGTGTCATGAGAGCCATTTCTGATGTAATACTCGTGATAGAATCTCCTCCTTGCATCTGAAGTAAAACCAATCAAACAATGAATAATGCATAAAAATTAAGAAAATAAAAAATTTTCAATTTGTTGTCAAAATAGAGAAAAAGCTATTAAAAATTATATAGAATTTAGCATAAGATTATTCCTTCAAAAAAATAAAACAAAACGCTGATTACCATATAACAGACAGTCTTCTCGCAGTTGCAAAAGTGCTTTGCAAAGAAAGAGTATTGACAGGTAGTTTGAACTTGTATTTTTAAGTCACGAAACTAATGACAATTAGCCATTACTATTATATCTTTAAATTTAGTAATAGATAATGTCAACGTTTGCATAGCATTTATAATTCATGCCAGACTGTTTTAAAGATAACATAAAGACAAGCACACTAACACCTTTAGGAATATTAATACAGTTAAAAAAAATAAGCCAAGCATATTGAAGACAGTTCAGTGTAAAATATTCATTTACAGATAGTTCTCCTTAAAGAGATAAATTCTATAGAAACAAGAAACATATACGTGCTATCATGACAAAATTAATAAGCTACCTCTGAGTTGGCAGATTTTTCCGTACAAGAAACTGGTTTCTTTTTACGTACGCTATAAAACAGTTTTATCTTAATTCCATCCAATTATTATAAAGAAGAAAAATCTCTTAGAATACAGTTTGTTAGTGTGAAATTCTAAAAAATGTGTTTCTCTCTTTCCTATGTCATGTTTAAATTTATGTATTAGTGATTTGTTTTTAAATAGCCTTTTTGGTAGATAAATGAATAAAAAAGCAATATTTAGAAACAACTATTAAAACTCAGAAAGCTGAAAACAACAATAAAATATATTTTCTAGATTAGTTGGACAGTTAACTGATGAATTAAATGAATCATATTTTTATGTAAGAAGAATAGAAAATGTACAGCGTACTTACTCGTTCTCGTAAATTGTCTACCCACACAGATTTGCATCCACTTAATTTTGGGGCGTCTGGTGTCCATCTAACTGTGTCTTTACTGCATTCCCATCTAGCTAACCCTAAAGTTGGAAAACAGTTAGAATATTGATTATGGATAGAAACATTTCGAATTATTATTGTTATTCGATTTTCCGGGGCGTCATGATTTATATGATTTCATTTGATATCAGATGGTTTGTGGTAAATAGCTTAAAATAATTAGGGGAAAAAAGTGTCCAGAATGTTGCACCACAATTCTGTCAAGGATAATGCACTGGACAACATCAATTTCATAGTACAATTAATAATTAAAAATAAAATAACAACAAAAAAACAGTTTATTTGGAATTTTGAAACCGTCGTTTTGCCATCAAGGTTTCACTGTGGTTAACGTTAATACTGGTGTTAATACATCACCTAAATAAAAAATTCTCTAGTTAGTTCACATTGTAAAACTATTTTTAAAGAAAAAAGAAAACTATTAAAATGTTATATCGATCACTTCTGCCGTAAGATGGAGCCTATAAATGATGATCTGAAAGCGATCAGTTTGAAAACAATTATCTAATGTATAATTATAAAGTATCTTTAAAATATTTAGAATAATTAAAGATACAGCTTTTGTTATAAGTAATAGCTAGTTTCAAATGTGAAAGAGAGAAAACAAAATTCTTCCAGAGAACAAATAATTTATCGTGCGACTTTCTTTGGAAAAGACAAAAGGGAATAATCATTTTACCTAGGCTTAACTTAATGAGTGTTAGGATGAACTATTTTATAAATCAGTACAGGTACTTGTCACACTAATAATAAACTATATTAACATAGATGTTTTTATTGTTTACTATAAGTACAAACTTGGGTAGATTTTGTTCTGGATGCGACTTTGTAAACTTGAACACGTCGAAATCCCTTGAGTTTTGGGGCCATTTTTGATTTTATTATACAAGATACCTATTTTATTTCATTATCAAACTGGAATAGTTATTTCTAAAACACAGAAAGTATATGCTAACAATACTTTGACTCCCGTTTGAATACTTGTTTTGAAAAGTTCTTTTTTACCCCCCCCCCCCTGTAGCTCAGTGGTAAGTCTCGGGGAATATAACGTTAAAAATCGGGATTCGATACATTCAGTAGACAGGACATGGATATTCCATTGTGTATATTTGTGCTTAACAATTAACAACAACAACAAAAACTCACCAGTTGCTCCGCCGGGACATTTCTGGACAGCTGTCTCTCCAGCTAGAGTCCAATTCCACCTCACATCTCTAGAGAAAATAGGTGGACACATTTTGTGAGGGGTGAAAGGTATTGGGGATGTAAACTCTTGGGTAAGTTCTGCAAGAAAATAAAGTACTTTTCAGAATAATTACTTTGAGAAACAGAAAATCTGCATTCTCAAAAACAAGCAATCATACATCTGACCAGTATGCTTTGTTATAACATAAGCACAGAGTCTGAATCCTTTACCAACCATTATTAAGATACCACGTGAACAGTTTAGATAATAACGTCATATCCGATTGGTACATTCAATTATCATTATCCACACGTGAGTTGACTAGTTGTTTGTATTGATTTTTCCTGTTTGTCTGGCTGTTATTAAGATTGCACCTAGATAAAACAAATGTTACTAATTGCATAATGAATTCCAACCTGAAGATAAGAATGGCTAGAAAATAAACTTATTTAAACTAATCGTCTAAATGTCAAAAGCCCACCAATTTGTACTTGCTTTTTAAACTCTCTTTAAGATATTCAAACTATTAAATCTAATATTGATTTTTTTCTGCAGTAAGGTGAGACTTGTAGTACTGAGTATAAGAGCTGATGTGGGGATGATAAATGATGTTGGTAGGAATAAAAAAAACATGTTAATATTTCCTATTCTAAAAAAATATAAAGCTAAAGAATATTAAACTAAAATACCAATGTATGAAAAGAAACTGTAACTTGTTTTCATGTATAGACTAACACATTGGAACGATTCGTAAAGAAGTGGACGAATAAAATATTATTTATATATATATATATATATACATATACATGTGTGTGGGTGGGTGGGTGTGCGAGCATAAAAAATTCATAAGAATGATGACCTACATGAAGACGGGCATGATGAAAAAACAAAAGCTGAAAGAAATAATATTTTCATTATGTACTGTTATGTCCTTAGGCCTATAACTACTACATATCTTCATCCAGGATAAAATCGACAATATGACTTACAACACTGAAACGCATATTTTTCACCCTGCACTACAGGTTTTAACAAACATATACAAGCGTTAAGTTTTCGATTTTCTTAGAACAAGGCAATTAATTAATATAGATTTAAAATTCATTTTAAAGCAAATGTAAAATGAAAATTATCTACATTTTAGTGCCCATATTTGTATATGATAAAAAAAATCTGTAAAGTGAATATAATTTACAAAAAAAAGAATCAAACACTGCAGCTCGTAATACGAGAAGGTCAAAAAATGTTTTTCTGTTGTAAAAACTTTCTTCTTTTGCACACGTACACACACACAAACACAGAAACAACTTTATTAAACACAATAAATGTGTAAGTGTTAAAGTGGGTGATTTACTTTTCACATCACTCTCGTCAGTGTAGTCTTGATACACATTGTTCTTTAGGTTTGGAGATAAAACTTGGGTTGTGGCAATAGTCGTACTTGTTGTTGATGGTGTTGTGGTGGTGGTAGTTGATGTTCTTGGGGATGTGTGAAAAACACCTGAAGCTGTTGAACTAAATAAAGTTGAATTGACGTGACTTCCATTTACAATATTCGTCGGGGGATTCTTTCCTGGTTTGACGTAAGTGTCGTTAGATGGCAGCAAGATCGATGTCGTAAAAGCAGGTATAATTTCATCAGATCTGTCCGCTGTGCTTGACCCGGTGAAGGAATTAGCTATTTCAGATAATAGTATATTAATTTAAATGAACATATGGTAAATACATATATAAATATATACAGATACGGTGTAAAGACCTTCTGAATGTTTGTATATTTAATAATTATATAACCTTTAATGATAAACTATTGAAACAGATAGTAGGCATCACTATGCAGGTTAATTTCTCTTCAAATATTGCTAACTTGTATCTTTATTTTTATGAAAATAAATTTATGAAAAAAGAACAAATCCTACCAAATATATATTTACTTTCCGTTATATTGACGATTTGATATCGATCAACAGTCCAGAGTTTGAACCATCTGAAATTTATCCTAAACTTGAATTACAACGTAGCAATAGCAATAGTTTCATAACACACTATTTAAATCTAGACATTAATTTGTTAGAAAATAAAGTGCAGTTGGACATATTTGACAAAAGATGAGAATTTAATTTTTTTATCCTAGGATTGCCTTCTCCAAATAGTGTGGTGCCACATACAATGTTAAAAAGTATAATTATTTCTCAAATTAAAAGATACATAACAGTCTGCAATAAAAACACTTTTCTTTGTATATAACGTAGAATTGTTACAAGATAAACTTCTATTGAATGGTTATAATAATTACGAAATTAGTAAAGTCTTTAAATTATTTTACAATAAATTTCATAAATTATTAGAAAGTAAATCATTTACAAACAACTTGAGTACAATTATTTCTAACTTGAAATATTAAATTAATGAGAGGTCGCTAGCATATAAAATCTTATTATAAAGACTGGCGTTAACTTTATAATAATTTCAGTATTTCTGGGTCGGAAATACTAACTTCAAGCAACAGGGCATGGCTCAGTTTACCCAGTTATACTTGAAAGTCATGTCCTTAGAAAGGGAGGAGGAATGGGGTACCAGAACTACATAGATGGGTTTATAGTTAATAATAAAAACATTAACTGAAATATTATTTGAAGTATTACTGCTTATACTATATTGAATAGTTATTAATATCTTGCAGTGATAAAGTGTCAATATTACTAATACTAGAAATGTACAGTAAGGTTGTATATTTAGTAATTTAATATTGGAGTAAATATACTAAGTAGAGGGTGGTTTAATATCTTATTTCTATTTTTATGGGTTTTTTTCAGGGATCACTTTCATATCCACAACCGCCTTTAGACGGTGAGTGATAGTGGGATCTAGGACGTTGTGGGTTCTAGCACCCAGATCCTAATCCTTTTTTTTTTTCGGTTACATGCTGACTAGCTCTGCATCTCTTGCTTTGATTATTTCTGATAAACGGAATATCCCCAATGCTTTTGGAAACTATAATCGCAGACATTTTCCCTCTAAAATGATACCTTTTGTACTTTTGGTATAAAAAACAATGGTATAAAATTACATTGTTATATTAGAACTTTGTTGGCGCGTTCACTTACTTTTTGGCGTGTGCATCTACATGTACAATAAATAAATTATAGGTTATATTATATTTTCGTCAGAGCTATACAGTGCTGAGTGATCGCCTGTACGCTTTTGATGTAATACAATTTCTTTGAAAAACTGTATATATACTAAAGTAGAGAATTATATCAACTTTGGTAGACAGATAGACAGAAAAATAAACAGAACTTTTAATGTCATCAAATAAAAACAAGAGGGAATCCTCAAAAGCCACGGCACTTGATATTCTTTTAACAGGATAAGAATAAATTAATCTATGTGACCTTTTTTCCCTTTTTATTAGCTATATTTTTGTGCGCCAGTAATACCAAGCGTCGGGTGCGCGTATACCCGATTCGATTTTGTTACTCATAAGGATCTTTATAAGCCTACCCTCAAACTGAAATTCTTTTAGGCATGATTAGAATAAATTAGTCTATGAGACCTTGGACAATGTCAAATACATCAATCAAAAGGGTTTGACCTCCTGCATCGAAAAGTGTAATTAGATCTCAAATCGGTCAAGAGATAACGGAGCTATGAGCTAAAAGTATGTACTTGGAAAAAAAAAAATATGAGCCGCTCATACGACGCAAAAAAAATGTGTTTCAACAATATAACATTCAATGAATAATATTTTGATTTAGAATCTAGTAAAAACAATCCGAATAAAAACTATTTTATTATCAATGTTTACGTTTTGTGTTTCTGACACTGATGTTATTTTTTACTGACCTTTTCAGTTTTTTAAGAAAACAAAAACACTTAAAAATGAAATAAACTTTGAACAGATCAAACAATACTCTTAAGTTCTTGGTATTTAGAATATCCTTATTTTGCTTACACAAATAGATTAGGTTAAATGACAACATTATAAATAGGTTAGATTAAATGACAACATTATATATATTTTTTTTTGAAAGCACTGATTTAACAAAATATCTGTTTTTTCTGGTCCTTCGTAGTTTTCGGAGTAGAAGAGAAATCTTTATTATGGTCAAAAGTAAGCTAATTGTATAGATCAGAACTAAAATATTTCAAAATAACATAATTATTAACGAAGACAATCCGTAGTGACAAACTGACTAAAATGTTATAAAATAAACCTCTTAGAAAACAACAACAACAAATGTATAATGGTTAAATTGCATTACTCATCTATTGGATACTCTAATTGAAAATGGTATTTTCGGCCGTGGTCCCACACACTTGGCCGAGAATATACAGAAACCTTCATAAAGGTAATTATGATTGAAAATGTAATAAAATTGTTTTAATCAATATAATATAACGAAACCAGCTATAAGTTACAGAATAGGTTAACTTACGGGATATACAGTAATATTGAACCTCCAGATACTTGACTGTTCCTGGACAGGGATCGCCTCCAAATGTGTTGCTAGAAACGTAAATACTACAGCTGGACTTGTGGCTGCACCTGCGGCATATAAATGTAACAAACAAGTTAATTTGATCACGTATTTAAATTTACCAGTTTAGATCTACACAAAACTAGAAAGTCCTTAATCCTATGTAATTCAATATTCCACCAATCGGATTTCTCTATCTAATGTTTTCATAAATTACGCAGGGTTCTTTTAAAACAATACATATATTAAATCTAATAACAAGCTGTTCTTGACGAGGTAAATAATGTAGGTAAGCTTGCAATATATATATATATGTACACATATACATATGGAATAGGGATTATCTATACTTGTGAAAACGCCCCCAGTGGCACAGTGGCATGTCTGCGGACTGACAACGCTAAAATCCGGGTTTCGATACCCGTGGTGGGCAGAGCACAGATAGCCCATTGTGTAGCTTTGTGCTTAACTTCAAACAAACCTTGTGAAAATATACATATAATAATAAATTATTCAATTTATTTTCTTAACCTTTTTTTTTGTAATCTATTCCAACAGATCTCCTTACCTGTCTTTCATAATAGGAAATGACCAATACGACATGCAACTGACGCTCCAGTCAACAACTCCTTTGTCGTTACATATACTAACACTAAATCTACCATAATTTGCTCTCACTAATCGTATGTGTTTTCCTCCATTACACGATACTCTTAAGTCCCTTCCTTCACAAGCGTAGGTAGTTTCATATTCGTCTCTATCTGAAAGTATAAACAACAACCGTATTTTGAGTCATTCAATAACTTATAAGAGAAGCAGAATATCCTTTAAAGACTTCACCACGAATCAAGAAAATATCGCTACACTGTGCGTAAAAAACTATGTGAAACTGAATTATCAAATTATGACTTTATTTGTAATTTGTAAACTTATTCAGTTATTTAATCTGTACAAAGAATCACGAGAATTTTGAAAACAAAATTACTTAACTTTAATTGCATTTACTTCATATATTGAAACAGCTGAAACACTGTTACTTATTATCTACTATGAAAATAAAATATGATTTATATGATTTGCTTGCTAAGTTTTCTGCAGATGTTTATATTTTCTGTTTTTGCTTGAAGACGAACGAAGCATCTAAGGAAAAAGGAAGGCTTACTAAGGAAACAAAATTTAGTATTATATATTTCATAATACTAATGACAAGAACAGAAACATTAATTACTAAATATCGAAGAATCCTTAAATTCCCAGCTAAACGACATTTAGAACATTTTTAGTCGGTAAAGACATTTTTATATACATATATAAAAAAAGTTGCAATCGACTTGTTCAATTTTTAAACAATAAAATAATAAACAGGAAAGAAATTAAAAGAAAATCTGATGTAACTGGTGAACTTCAAATGAAAGAGAATAATTTTACTAATCCATATGCAGGAAATAAAGAACAAAATCATCAAAATAAGTTACCTAAAAGTGGGGGCCGTAAGGAAAAATTCGGGATGGAAACTGAAATAAATAAATAAAATAAACATATATATATATATGGCATAGATATAAACCGTTACTTTATGCTTAAAAATAATACTAAACATTTAGAATTACAATTAATATAGTTATTTTTTTTGGCTTGAGTAATTTAAACTTGTGACTGTAGTTTCATTTTAAACAGAAGAGGAGTTAGTTATCCGACTTATTTTAAAAGTTTTTCTCGACAACTGGACCCCAGTAGCACAGTGAAAAACCGGGTTTCGATACTTGTAGATGGCAAAGCACAGATAGCCCACTGTGTAGCTTTGTGCTTAACTGCAAACAAACTTAAGATTGATGAATAAACTATAAAGCCTTATAGAAGCATTTTCGTGTTTTTTTATATATAGGTAATATAGATAATTTTAAGTGAAGTTTCATCTCTATCACTATCGCTATGGATACTTACATGACACTATGACATCCAGAAAAGATTATCTTTACGAGTCGTACGTGTTCACTACTTACGTAGCGTATTCGTGAAGGCAATTCCAATACCCCTATCGAAACTTAAAATTGCTTAAAAGTAAAAGTCCAAAAAGTGAGTTTTTTATCAATTTCATTGCGTGTCTTTTTGTTGTTGTTGTTGTTGTTTGTTTGTTTGTTCGAATTTCGCGCAAAGCTACACGAAGACTATCTGAGCTAGCCGTCCCTAATTTATCAGTGTAAGACTAGAAGGAAGTCAGCAAGTCATCATCGTCACCACCCACTGGGATTGACCGTAACATTATAAAGCCCCACGGGTGAAAGGACGTGTTCGGTGGGAGGGGGGATTCGAAGCAGCGGCCCTCAGATAGAGAGTCGAGCGCCCTAACCAGCTGACCATGCCGGGGTCATATGTATCTCCTCAAGTAGTGATAGAAATAAATTAGTGAACATAAACTGGCTGACCAACAGGGAATCAAATTCCAATAGTATTTTGATGAAGGTTTCTTTTAGTGAGATATGGACTTGCCCATTAGAAGATGTTCTACGAAAGCGATATTATACGTAGAAAGAACCTAAACAACTGTAAAACTAAATCTCATATCCGTATTGGATTTTTAAAAGTTTCTTATTTGTTTCAGAATTTCGCGCAAAACTACAAAAGAGCTAATTGCACATATCCTTTCTACGTTTGAGCTGATAGACTATAATGAATGTAACTAGTTGACACTATCTTCTGTCAATTCTTGGGCTAGTTGTGTCTGATCGAATAATGGAATTTCACTGTCACTCTTAAAGCGCACCCAAGCCCAGAAGTGCGTAGTGCGTCTATTGGGCAACAGGTGGCGAACCGCGAACCCTTAGATTTACAGTGTGGGTACTCTTACCACTAATCCACGCCCAGTCTTCCTTAAAGATTATCTACCGAAACCAATTTGAGATATACTTATGGTGACTTCAGATAACACGTTAGGATTAACAAAAAGTCGCTTTGAAAAATGACTTATTTAAGATAATTTCATTCAGGAATATAAAACTCAACATATCAGAGCTTTATTCACGAGTTAATGTCGCCTGAAAACTGTTGCCTTACTTCTGATTTAATGTTGTAGCTATGTGAATGGAGCATGTAAGTTTTAGTCCTACCATATTGTCGCAACTACTTGATACTTCGTTCGTAGGTTTGCTTTTGCTTTAATAACGTTGCTACTGAGCAAATTCACACCTCTGCTTCTGATTTAACGTCATAATAGCTTAAAGCTTGGAAGTATTACTCTTAACTTAATGCCTAAACTACGTGAATATCTCACGTTTTTACTTTTACCTTAATAATACTACTACGGTAAAACTTCACAGGTTTAGTCTTGACTTAATTTCGTAATTATATTAAGAACACGTAAATGTCATTCTGTCTTTAATCCTGTAACTTACTGTAAATACATAACAGGTTCTCATATTCAGTCGTTGATTTATTCAAGATTGAGAAATGGTTGAACTAAGTGATAAATTAATAATTTTCTTCTTAATTTGATTTCACATTCAGTGTATGTTTATTTCATTCTTCTCACCAACAAGCCCCCCCCCCCAGTGGCACAGCGGTATGTCTGCGGGCTTACAACGCTAGAAACCGATTTTCGATACCCGTGTTGGGCAAAGCACAGATAGCCCATTGTGTAGCTTTGTGCTTTACTTCAAACAAAGAAACTCAATAAGATGAGGAAATTAAATCTATTAAAATGACATTTCATTTTATAATGGTTGGAGCATAAAAAGCTTATGTTCTGAGGAGTCGATACCTTTAAAAGGTAAAGAAATATTTTTCTCGTGATTAGTATTGTATTAAACGTCAACAGAAATAATGTTTAATAATAATTATTCAAACTATTTCTTGCTTTTGAAGTTGTTATTTAAAATAAATACATATTCAATTATTTGCTTAACACTGGGTAATAGAAAAATATTCCCCTTTCAAAAATTTTGTGAAATGTAGGCTCGTTTATCTTATAAAGTTACGTAAAATTTTAATTTTGTTCAGACGTGAAATGTATCGCTAGAGCTTAGAACCACTAAATTTGAGAGTTACAGTTGCAAATGCCTCTAGACCAACCGCAGGTGGCGACGGAAGTTTGGACATACACTAATCCCTCTTTTTAATCCCTTAAAGGAATTCCAAGAGCCAGTTGAGTGGTTGGACTGGTTTTGTCATTTTTAGGTCTCACGTGTTCACCTTGGTGCTATGCAGCAAGTTGGGATTGCTTTTCACGAAAAATACAGGAGTACAAAATCCGGGGCTGATTTTTGTTCGGGTTTGAAGACCCTGGGAATTCACGTGGTATCAGAAGTGCAAGAAGAAATAGAGAGGAGATTATGACAATTGTGAACGCTCGTGCGTCGTTCTAATCATTTTATTGAGCGAAAGAAGCTGTTTCCCAAGGTTTGTTATAAATTCTCTTTGCTAAACTTTTAAGTGTCTGCCTTGGAGACCTTTTTTCCTAGTAAAGCCGATTAAAAGCTAAATATCTTGTAAAACATTTTTCACGCTACAAGTCTAGAAATCTAGAAAAGGGAAGCCTTTAGTTCTGTGTCGCAAAAAAAAAATTAAAGACTTGGCGAATCATAGAATTTATTTTTACTAAGTAACTACAAACAAAATCAAGTCGGACATAACAATATATAAGACTGTAATTACGAGTTGCATAAACTGTGTTATTCTTTATATATATATATATAACTAACAAATTATGTATTGCAAATGGGATATGAGAAAACTTGGGTTGTTCTTCTCATTTCACGTTTTATGAAGAGTAATACATATTTTTCCATGTAACATAATTGTTACCAAAGTATCATTAATTCCATAGATCTAAGTAATAAAATTTAAAGTAATCAAAACTACTTGCTTATAAACAAAAGGACGCGTAAAAGTATAATTAATTCATTACGCAATGCATTTTTTACTAATCATATTTTAAATATTGTACTTTGTTCTAACATCAAGCTGTTGCTCTTGAAAACCAAAATTGGTTTTGAGATAACATTGTATGTAAAAAAAAAATCAACATGTAAATTGTTCAAGGTGAGTAAGGTCCACTTGATTTTAACCAGTCCATCAAGCAAGCTAAGAGACAAAGAGGGTTCTGTGTGAGCGATCGAAACCATTCCAGCTTCTACGACGGTTTCCTTGGGCTTGAGAGAACTGGCACTGAAAAGGCTACAGGGTGTGACAAAATCTATATATTTCTCAAGGCCTGGGGGGATACTGTCTGCCATACCGTATAGCTCGTCCTCGGAGGCGCCAGTAGTATAGTGATATGCCTAAGACTAGATTGTTCTGAAAAAGTACAACAACAGTTTCGAGGTAACATAAGACCAGCTAAATAATTTCAGTGAACTTATAATAGATGAAATTAAAAAGAGAAAAGGTGAGACAAGTGAATTTGTCAATGGATTCTCGTAACTGGTAATTTATTATAACATATGTTTCTCTTGTGTCCTATAATAGTCCCAACCATGGTTTTCAGTACGATTTGTTCAACAATTTATAATGTAGACGAGAATTATAAAGCGAAAGAAAAAAGTAAATCGAACTATTAATTCTTGCTGCAACGTATAATTTTCGCATATTTATATAGATATGTACTATCAAAAAAGATTGATTCACAATTTGAAAGACAAAAAGCCTTAGCTTTCAGAAGATATTTTATAGGTTATTTACTCAAACTATTGGCGCAAAATGGTTTAGAAACCACATACGACCCTTTGTCGTGCTAATTCTAATAGTTTATAAGTGAAACTAAAGAATAATAATATGTCAACCCCGTGGAACACGAAAGATATTATGTTATTCTAGGTGCTATTTATATTATCAATTGCATGAACAGTACTTGTTATGATGTGAACTAAATTAAAGAAGTGAAATATAATTATTGCCAATTTTTATTTAAGTTATCTTCAATTCAGAATTAGGGTGATGATATATAACACAATATTATTTATTTATCTTTAACACCAAATACCTATTTATTATTATTATTATTATTATTTGAATTAACTTTACTGCCATTCAGAAGAACTTTGCGAACCAGCAGTCTTATCTTCTTGCTTCTGGAGCGGATCAAACAATCACGGCGTCAGACTACATTAGTACGTATAAGAACTTATAAGTAAAAGCAAAGAAAAATATTTTTAATATATCATCCAGACAAAATCCGCCATATGCCGTGCCGACGAGACCTTTTGCCTAAAATCAGGGCTCATAAGATCAGCTGAGCAAATATTGCTATAAGTTACAATTGCCCTGAAAAACAAAAAACGAATTGACTGCATGAACAAAGTTTCGTGGTAGGTAAAATAAAACGGACGATAAAGTATTTCAGAAGTAAAGAAATATTTAACTTCGAGTAAGTTTAAGAGTTCTTCTTCCCGGCATTCGTGAGATACTGTAACAAAGTGTAGGAACAGCGGCCATACTGATAAAGACTGCTTATTAATCACGTTTCAATTTCAACGCATTATTAAGATTAATTGACAGTGAGGAAAAGAAGGATGTTTCT